TCTATGGGGCCTCTGATAGTGGATCAGTATTTATCCCTAGTACAGGAATGGATTTTGGGAGCTCAATCCACATATAGGGATACTCTCTCAGCCTAGGGAGAGAGTCTAGGCCCTGCTCCAAATGCTGTGACAGATTTTTGAAGATCCCCCATGGAAGGCCTCACCCTCCCTGGGGAGCAGAAAGGGGATGGGATGGGGGTCGGAGAGGGCAGGGGGTGAGGGGAGGAGGGGAGGGAGAGGGAAGTGGGATTGACGTGTAAAAGAAACTTGTTTCAAATTAAAAAAAAGATAGGGTGCTGGAAGAGTGCTGTTTGCCCCCCACTGATAGAAGAGAGGTGCCCAGGCAGAAGAAGTGGTCAGGGCCTCCCTGGTGAGTGCCAGGCTATAGGGTCAGTGCAGGAGAGAGCTCACCTCCTTCCTCTCCTTCAGATTCGTCAACATGACAATGGTGGCTGACTTCTGTTCCCAGATCATCCTCCAGAAGTCATTCACTGTCTCCTGTTTAGGGCCTGAGTGCAGAAGGGAGGGTGAGCATCAGCATGGAGGAGCCATCTAAGCTCACCCCATGAATTCCATGGAAGGTTCATACCTTCCCCAGGCACAAGACAGGCCCTGCAACCTGGAAGCTTACCGTATAGCCAGCCAGCCAGCCAGAGTCTGGGTGACTATGTTGACTCCCAGGCCAAAAAGGGAGAGCACAGGCAGATGTTTGAGGGCCATCTCGGCTCTGCTTGTCATAGTAGCTGGGGGCTACCACACACTTGAATCCCCCAGAGTCACAGCCCCCTCCAGATGAATGGGAATGCAAATGTGTGTGAGTGAGTTTGTATGCTTGAGGAGGCGGGAAGGAGAGGGATAGAGCACAGGAAAAAGAAGAAACACCTCTGCCCTTTGTCCACTTCCTGTCTGAATATGACACAGTGCCTAGGGGTATAACAACTATTTTGCAATCCCGAGGCTAAGAGTTCTATGCTCAAGAGGAGGGGGCAGGGAGTTAAGAAATCTTTCCTGGGTGTGCCTGTGCTCATGACAGAAATGCAGACCCTTTTTACGTTTCCACCAACGTTTGACAGATTTCCTCTCATTTACAGAGGGCATGGTCCCCTGAGTGTAACGAGTACTTCTATTTCTAGGGAATCAGGCCTAAGAAGAGGGGGAGGGGAAGTCTAGTTTCAGCTTCACTGATACCTGGGGAATTGCTGAACCCTCCTGGAAAGACAGCCTCCAGCAGGTTCTCTAAGCACAGGGTGGAACTGGGTCCAAGGGTAAGGATATGATTCTGTGGTTGAGCCATGATGGCTATAACCTTGAGCTAAAAGCCTCTCCAACACGTCTTCCCAGCAAAGCAGGAGCCTCCGAGCTAAGACAGCTGAGGGAAGTCAAAATTATCTACTGAATGTGAGCCTTATGGTGGCAGAAAGGCAACTGGAGGTCCCTTGTGTGTGCTGTGAAGTCACAGAGGGGCACACAGCATGGGTGTCTGACCCAGTGAGCCAGTGGTGCACACCCACAAAAAAACAGTATGATCATTGGTATTGTTGGCAGTTAGACAGTCCAATGACTTTATAAAAATACTGCACAGACATGAACTAAATCAAGAGCCTGCTTACCTTGAGCCGCTATGAATTTGTTCTTTTCTTTGTAGCCCTAGAAAATGAAGTCAGACTTGTAATTATCCAGGAGTATCTTTGCCCAGGGGACCACTTGTTCATAGAAGGGGAGGGTAGATTCACCCCACAGAATGTGGTCAACAGGAAAGAATAATACAAAAACAAAACCCACCAGCAACCTCAGAGAGGACAGGTACTATTTTCCTATGGCCTATTGTTTTTTGTTTGATTGTTTTCCTACACACATGCAAGCAGACATACACATGTTTATATTTCTAATTGGGCCCATGTATTGTATACAAAATCCTTTTATTTCTTTATATTTCAAGTAAGAAATTTAAAACTTTAAATGATATTTCAAAGAAAATTAAATTAATTCTGTGACCTATTGTGGTTTGTCTAGTCAGAGGCATCTGGCTGGTTCTAGTTTGTCAGCACCATAAGGAACTTGACTGAATACCTCCAGTGTCTACTGTGGTCATTATCCCCCAGGATCTGTTATCTTTGTGACTTCTGGTAAAGATACAAGCTGGAAAAGTGTGATGTCCTCACACTCTCAGTGTGACCAAACTGCCTGAAGGGTGGTGACCACACACACATTCTCAGGATCAGCAAGGAAGACACCCACACATTAGGGTTCAGACCAAGCCCCTGAATACCCAGCATTGGCTTTATGTCAGGCTAGGGGAAAGGAAATGCGTCAACTTACATCTATATAGGAAGCATTAATGTAGTCAGAGCAGGGGATTCCATCCACTTGGCTCAAAATCACTCTGGAATGATCATCTGGGAAAAACAAACAATCCCATGGCGTTAGGACGAGGAGCTACAGTGACCCAGGGTGTCTTTTATCTAAGTGTCAATCATTGGAAGGACATAACCAGGTCTCCCCTTGAGGTCAGGGTGGGTGCTCCTGCCAGGGGAAGGGGGAGGAGAGATGGCCCCATGATCACACAGGCAGAACTGCAGGGAGTGAAGTGACCATGTTCTCACAATGGGCCCAAATGCTGACAACTGAGGGGCACATAGCAGGACCTTGGGATGAAGGATTACGTCTTTTTGTTCAGGCTTTCCAGGGGATGTGCGGGTAAAGAGTTTGGGACTCTGAACTCTGGCTCCCATTCTTCACCATCTGCTCCAGTGCTGGAAGGAAACTGGGCTCGTACGTGTTGGACCATTGACTATGGAGAGTCTAGATAGCTCAATGGAGTGTTTCCTAGTGTGGGAGGGCAGCCAGAGTGGTGTGTGTGTGTGTGTGTGTGTGTGTGTGTGTGTGTGTGTGTGTGTGTGTTGTGTTTTATATACACTTTGTTTGTGTTATGTGTGTGCT